CCAGCTCATTACAATTGCCACAAAATAAGTACTACACCATTTCCAGTAAAAATGTTGTACTAATGAAACATCATAACCTATCGCTTTGCATGATAATTTTTTGTCTCCCATATACATCGGATAAAGATTTGTTATGCCTATTATTGTTTTTAAATAAATAAAAAGGTAGATTAGTTGTTGTGATAAAGTCCAAATCAAAAACAATTGTAGAGATTAAACATCTATATGTATTATCTTTCTACCTGATGTAATCCATGATATTGTAAGAAATCTAAAAATCAAAATTTATTAAATATCAATTTACTGAATAATCTAGTCACTAAAGTCATCTTTAATAACAAAATGGTTAAATAAACAACTTACATATCAATCAATAATAAATTTGGACCTCTATTGGCAACTTTCTTAAAAAATATAAAACAATAAAATAATGCAGCCAATGTCAACAATATTACCACATAATACCATATTTTTATTTCTCCATTATACCTAAAAATAAAATTAATTTTGATTAATTGTGACTATAATTGCAATGATAATATACTTTTCACTCACTTTTCATTACGTGAAAAATAAATTGATATTGATGCATCTTGTTTTAGTAATTCACGTAGAAATGACATGAACATAGTCAATTGGATTATTTCTAATTTAATTTGAATTTGACGAAGTATTTATTGAGTGGAAGTAAAGAATATCAAGTTTAGTAATTGTTTGATATCAATTAAATTGCATATATATATATATATATACCTAGTGAAAAACATATTAAGACCAATCCAAATTGAAAAACTCTTATTTTAAGCCAATATGATTTATTCTTGTAAAATCTCATTCTTGAAAAAGTGATAAAAGATAAAAGATAAAATCAAGGTCGAATGTATTTGAAAAAATATGAGGAAAAGGTGATCATATGATGTTGTATATAGATAAAAAAATATTTATATATTTCTTTTATAATAAAATATGATGTTTTTTGACAATAATGAATGAAAGGAAAATTTTTATGACATTTACATTTATTACATATAAATCTAAAATTACACACATGTTGTAATAGAATAAATATAATTTAATATTAACATTAATAGCAAATTAAAGGATTAATATGATTAATTAGACTGTAATATTAAGTCTTTTCACAAAACAAAAGTGTCATTAGAAAAAAAATTTTATCTAATTACGGAAAAAATCAAAATAATAAACAAAACGAGATTTAACTAATTATGTTTAAAACTTTAGATTACGTCCTACGTTATATAAATGCAAGTTTATGCATGTATTAATACGAATTCCTGTTTTAAGTAAATAGTAATATATATGAAGGGTCGACGAATCGTTTTCTAAAAGAGGAAAATTTTTTTTTTGAATTTATTCATCTTTTCACGTGGATAATATAGAATTTCCATGTAAATATGTGTGTGTGTATATATATTAACATTAATATATACTTATAATTGATACTAGTTTGTCAGTTTTTTGATTTTTTTAATTTTAAAAAAAATGAGCGATAATAACATATAGTGGAGGCAATGCATTTAAACCAAAAAATAGTAACAATGATCTTATAGAAGAATGGGCGATAATGATATAATGGAGGCAGAGTATTTAAACAAAAAATGATAATAATGTTCTTACGACAGACCTGAAATAATGAAGCATCAGGTCATGTGACAATCAAAAAAAAACACCAAGTGATGTTTGCAAATTTAACATGGTCATAACATCGATCAGATAAAGTATAACCTGATTCTAACTTATAGTATCAAGATAAAGCCATAGTTAGATGGAAAGTTGATCTTAACAAAAAGATTTTGCAATGCTTTAAATATGAAGATGAAAAAGAAAAAAAAATTTCTCTTTTAAAATATCCTAATACTAAAGATTCTTCTTTCTG